AAATTATAAGATTAATTAATTAATAATAAAAGTAAAAGTTGAAAATAAAATGATGAGTTAAATTAACAAAGAAAGAACAAAAAAGAAAGCACAGTAAAAAGAAAGAAAAAGAAAAAAGAGCTTTATTGTTTTTAATTAGTTTTTATAATTAAAAATATCACAATCCAAAACAAATAAACTGTTTTTACCTAAGTTCAAGTGTCAAATTTGAGAGATTAATGCAATTTTCTAAAGCAGAACCTAAGCCTGATGCACCCATTTCACCAATTTAATTTCTACTTTTTAAATATTGAAGAAAAAATAAATATATCATTAAATAGTTAATTAGAAGGAAAAAATGAAGAAAAAATATGAAATAATAAGATTAATTAATTAATAATAAAAGTAAAAGTTGAAAATAAAATGATGAGTTAAATTAACAAAGAAAGAACAAAAAAAAGCAAGCACAGTAAAAAGAAAAAGAAAAAAGAGCTTTATTGTTTTTAATTAGTTTTTATAATTAAAAATACCACAATGCAAAACAAATAAACTATTTTTACTATAGGTTAAGTGTCAAATTTGAGAGATTAATGCAATTTGCTAAAGCAGAACCTAAGCCTGATGCACCCATTGCACCAATTTTATTCCAACTTTTTAAATATTGAAGAAAAAATATATCATTAAATAGTTAATTAGAAGGAAAAAATGAAGAAAAAATATGAAATAATAAGATTAATTAATTAATAATAAAAGCAAAATTTGAAAATAAAATGATGAGCTAAATTAACAAAGAAAGAACAAAAAAAGAAAGCAAAGTAAAAAGAAAAAGAAAAAAGAGCTTTATTGTTTTTAATTAGTTTTTATAATTAAAAATACCACAATGCAAAACAAATAAACTATTTTTACTATAGGTTAAGTGTCAAATTTGAGAGATTAATGCAATTTGCTAAAGCAGAACCTAAGCCTGATGCACCCATTTCACCAATTTAATTGTCACTTTTTAAATATTGAAGAAAAAATATATCATTAAATAGTTAATTAGAAGGAAAAAATGAAGAAAAAATAAGAAATAATAAGATTAATTAATTAATAATAAAAACAAAAATTGAAAATAAAAGATGAACTAAATTAACAAAGAAAGAAAAAAAAAAGAAAGCACAGTAAAAAGAAAAAGAAAAAAGAGCTTTATTGTTTTTAATTAGTTTTTATAATTAAAAATATCACAATCCAAAACAAATAAACTGTTTTTACCCAAAGAATAAGGAAAACAAATCAAATAAATTAAAAGAACTATAATGTTTTAAATTAACTTTTATAATTAAAAATATTACAATGTAAAACAAATAAATAACTTTTATTAAGTGTAAGTTTTAATAGCAAAAAATGAAGAAAAAATATCAAATATTAAAAAATGAATAATAAATAATTAATTAAAAATTGAAATGAAAATTAAGTTAAAATAGCTAAAAAATTTTAGTTATTTTTAACAAAAATCAATAAGTAAATGATGATGATAATTTTTTTTATAAAAATTATTTATTTAAATAAATTGAAAATTAAATACACAAAAAATATCAATAATAATAAAAATAATATTTTTTAATTAAATATACCTCAGATCAATATGGAGAACCTAATGAGATAAAAGTGAAGAGCTTAAAAACTTTTTTTTATTACTTCTTAAAATAATAATTTTGATTAATTAGATTAAAGGAAACATAATTTGCTTACAAAATATAATAATATTTATTTTTGATTGACTGACTATTATTTTACTTAAATAAAAGTATATCATTTTATCATTTTTATTACCTCTGTTGATAACTTTATCAATTAAGATATATAAAAATAATTTCCCTCCAAAAAGTAGAATTAAGAGCATAAAGAGTAATATTTACAATTTATATGTAATAACCTGATTTCTATTTGTTCAAGATAACAACCTTCGCTCAATTTATTGTTCTAAAATAGTTAAATATTTTTGTATTTTAATTAGTAATTTATAAGTAAAAAACTAAATTTTTGAGCAATTATTGCAAAAATCAAATTTAATTATTCAATTTTTTTTCAAGTTTTGATAATTTGATAAAAAATTATGAATAAAAATCTTTACTCTGTTAATTGGGTTTATAACAATTCACAAAGTCTATAAACATATTTTTCCATATAAGAGCTTCAAATATGTTTTGATATTAGATAAAATGCGCTTAAAAGTGAAAATAATTTAAATCCATTATGCAATAATATTTAATATGGTATGTCAAAAAATAGTTGGGATAATATCATCAAATAGATAATTTTATTAATCAATATAAATCACTAAAATATAAAATGTACAATAATCATCCAATTTATAATATTTAATGCACTCTCTCCCAAAGAATTAATCAATTTTTTAATGTTTCCGATTGCTAGCTTATTTTAGTAACCTAAATAAAATGTTGTTTTTGAAAGTTCTTGAAAAAAAATAGAACATTTTAGTTATAAATAAATTCATGTAAATTTGATAAGGTTAAAAAATCAATTATTTGATCTTTATGTTTTAGTAAATAAAAAATAATAATTGATTTGAAATTTTTAAAGAAGTTAAACAAGAAAAATTATTGGAGAGTAAATTTGTAAAAATATATACATATCTTAAAAGGAATATATAGATCAAAATATTTGCAAATTAGATTTGATAAATATTGAAAAAGAAGATATTTTTTTGAATCTTTGCTTTCCAATAAACAAATGAATTTTAAAATAATTAATAATTTTAAAAAATAAATAAATTTATAGTTTTTCGCAATTAAAATAATATTAAAAAATTTTACAAAGATTATGATTTTTAATAATTTATTTTAAATAAAGAATATTATTCATTAAAAGAAAAGAATAGTTTAATAATAATTTTAAATGAAAATAAATAAATTATTTTTAAATTATTATTAGAATATAAAAATAAAATTTTATTATTTTTGTAATTTAAACTAATTTAGAAATAATAAAGCATCTTTTTAAAATATTCGCTATTAAATTAACAAAAGAAATCTTCTATCTATGTGCTAGCTTTTGATATTTTTCCAAAATTTACTTAAAACAAAAAATAAAAATTCTAAAAATTATTGTTTTATTTAAATATGTAAATAAAAAATTGAAAAAAAGCAGCATGCCTTCTTGAATTTCTTAAAATTAAATTTTTAACTTTGAATATTATTTGATCTTTCTTTTATCTTTATTTTTGGGTTTTATTTGTTTGTTTGTTTATGCTTATATCTTAATTAATTTATTTATTTTGTATTGGTTTGTGTGTGTGTGTTTGTGCTATTAATCTAATTAATTTTAATTGTTTTTATTTCATTTATTTGATTTTTTTAATTTATTTGTTTATATTTATTTATTTATTTGTTTATTTTTATTTATTTATTTGTATTTTTTAATAATTTATTTTTTTAAGTCTGATTTGTATCTATCTTCATCGATTTTTCCTAAAAAAAATACTATTTATATATTAAATATATGATTGTAAAATTTGGAGAGAGAATTGATCTGCTCTTATTTTTTTTTGAAATAATTTTGAAAAATCCACTCCTGAGAAGAGTTACATATAACATCTCCGAGATCTATATTTTGAAACAAATTAGCTATGTTGTTATTGCTCCTTTTAAGTGGGAGGATTTAAAAACTTTTCGGGATTGGGTTTAATTCGCTTGCCCTTTCGATTTAAAAACTTATCTTGATCCCACAATCAAGATGTTTGGATGCATTAACAACTTATCTAATAAGAGACAGATCTGGATCATTTTTATTATCTTTATTTTTTTCTAATTTTCTTTTCTTTTGTTTTCTTTTGTTAATTAATTAATTATCTGATTTTCCTCTTCTATTTATTTTCTTGAAATATCTTTTGAAATTTGAAAATTTTCCCCCACTTCTTCATTTAGAAAGCAAAATTTACAATTTAATTAAATTTACAAATAATTTTCTTCCTCTTATTTCTTGCTTACCCTTACCACAAAACATTCATTCATTGTTTTCTAAATTTATTTTTTACTTAACATTAAATCTAATGATAAAAACTTCAAAACAAAAAATCATTCATAATTATTAGCTATCTTTAAGCGATCTTAAAAAAGTTTAATAATAATAATTTAATTTTTATTAAGATAATGAAATAGATTTTTTAACATTAAAATGAATTTAAAAATATAGGAGAATATAAATTTATTACGATCAATATTTAAATGAATTTATTAATTATTTCAATAAAATTATTGTTAAATATAGTTTTATGAGCGATAAAATATATCAATCAATCAACCAGTCTGTCATTTGGTCAGCATTAACTCTAAAAGTGTTTAATTTCTTCTTGTATAATTTTGCTTGTATTATTATCGATGACATAGTTTTCTTTAATTTCTTTTGCAAGTTCTTCTGAAGGAATGGGGTTGTTGATAAGAGTTCCTTCGATTTCCTTTTAAGATCTTCTCAAATCTTACTTGGTGAATGAAAGAGGAATAAGACTCAAGAATACAAGACCTAAATATACAATACCACCAATATAACTTCTTTCTTGTGATTTACCATCAATAACATCAGTCATAATCAAACCAAGGAAAAAGCCGAAAATTTAACTTCCTGCCAATAAATAACCTGCAATACTTGCCTTTTTTAAATAAAACAGTTAGTTAATTCACAGAGACTTTAAAATGAATTTAATCTTTTAAAAATAAGTTAATTTATTTATTAATTAATTACTTCACCAACGGGGAAGGCTATTTCACAACCGAATTCGAGGACTGTTGAGAAAACAGGATAACAGAAGAAAGCTGATAAACCAGATACAACAAAAGCAGTCCACTTAAATCCATCTCCTGACTAAGTGAGAAGGGCTAAATTAACAAGAAGCATAATTGAAGCTACTAAAGTTCCTATGAACATAATAGGCTTATATTTTCTTGTAATCTTCAAAACAATAGCACCTGCGATACTTCCGAAGAATCCAAAGGCTGTAGAAAAAACACTCAACAAACTTGCATCAAGCTATATTAAAATTTATTTGATTAAATATTTTTTATAAAAAACTCTAAAAGTATTTATTATTTAAACTAATATAAATTAATTAATTTATTTATTTATTTATTTATTTATTTACAGCAGTGTGACCAAAAGGAGCTATGAGTAAACTGATAGTAACAAAATAAGAGTTGACAGTACCCAAAACTAAGGTGAGGAAACCTAAGAGGAGCAAATAATTTACATTAGTGAATAAACTCTTGATTGATTGCTTAAAATTTTCCTTCTTTTGCATAGCACCATAACTTTTTTTAAAAAATTAAATTATTAGAAAAATGATTTATTTTTTTTTAAGGTAAATTCATGAATTTTAATTAATTATTTACCTAGGAGGAGTAGGTGGTTCAGCTCTGAAAAAGAAAATGTTCAAGACCATGATAGCAGCTACAATAATGAATTCAGCAAGCATAAGGTTAAAGACATCACTTTCTGTGTTATTTGATTCACTGACAAAAATTGAGGGAATAACGATACCTAATGCTCCAGAAGCTAAGACGGCAAAAGTTCCAATAGCAGTAACTGCAGGTCTCTTTAGAAATAAAAAAAATAAATGATAAATAAGACAGACAATTAATTCAATTATCTATTAAAAGTATTAATGAAAATAAAAACTCCTTGATTTAGGTTACATGAGTTGCAAATTAAAATTAATATGATGGAAATTGTATCATTTGTTTAAGTGAATTAATTTCTTTTATTAATTAACTTATTATTTATTTAATTTAAGGGTGGATATTATTGAATTAATTTTTCTTTTATTACAATCGTTTAACCCCCTTTTTTTCTCTACTTAGCAAATTATATGACAAGCTCAAATTCTCAAAATAAAAATTATCAAATCATGTTGAATTTACAGCAGATTTATATTTATTTTTATGGAAATTAGAATTAAATGGTAGCTAAGGCTATTTCATTAAAAGATTAGAATAAGAAATTACATCTTTGGGATAGAACCAATTTGCTGCTACTTTAGCAGGTGAGTTAGTGATGAAGCAATTTCCAACAGCATTAATGAATTATCCAATAATAACAAAGAAGAAACCTTGATTTACTAAGCATCTCAATCCTGTTCCAATAATCATCAAAATAGCACCAAAAGTAATCTGTTGAAATATTAGAATTAATTTTAAATAAATACTCTTATTAAATCTGAATTAATTAATATAAGCTTTTTTGTTTGCTTATTTGTATAAGCATTTGAATGAATTAATAAAGAGTTTTAAGTTTTGGATTTTTATGATTAAATTCGGCTTTGTATTTCTTAAAACTCAAAGTAAGAAGAAATAAGCATTTTTTAAGTTTTTTTTAAATAGAAAAAATGAATTAAATAAATTATTAATGAAATTACACCAAACTTTAATCCTTTTTATTCAATGATGTAGTTGCTGACAAAAGCCATAGGAGGATGGGAAACGTAGAAAACGAGTGCACATAGAGATATGACTTACTTACTATAACTAGGATATATCGTATTCAAGATATTAACAATAGGAGTTGTTGTCTATACAATTAAATTATTGGCAAGAGCACTAATGATAAAAACAGCTAAGTTTATGTACCTATAATATATTTTAATTAAATTATGTAAATTGTCTTTGCTGTAATTTGGCTTTTAGCATTGACCTAATCGCCTTTGCGTATCAATAAATTTAAATGAATGAAATACCTATAGTTGTATACTTTGAATTAAATCAAATGGTTATGACTCTTCTTCTAATCAATTAAAGAAGGATCAATTTGGTGATGGGAAAGCAAGAGCTTTTAATCTTCTTTCACACTATGGTTATTGTGGTCATCGTTAAAAATACTCATTTTTTAGTTTGAACTGTATTGTTATTTCTTTCTACTTTTATTAGCTACCTAAATATCTATCAATTTAATATAAATAGTTAATGAATTTATTTGTTTGTAGTCAATTATTTAATTTTTAATATTATTTGTTTGTATGATAACTTGTTTAAAGCTTCAAATGAGATGTTTTTAAATAGATATCTTTTTGATAGTATATCCTCCCTATGTAAAGGAAATAAATGTGTATTTGCTTACCTTTATTTTTATTATCAATAGGTAAAATATTTAATCAATTTTACCTAATCTATTCAAATATGTATGAATTTATTTATAAAAGAATTTAACTTAGTATGAATTTCTTTTTACATTACACTGTAAGGCCTTTTGACATGCTTAACTTTACAAATTTATACTTCTGTTTTTTTATATTATTGTAATATCAATTTAACATAAATGCACTTACCAAATGAATCATTTTAATTCAATATAAATGAAATTCTAATTTAATATTACAAAAAAACATTATTCATCATGTAAAAATTTTAAACAAAACTCTCAATTTTTTTTTAAAGTTCTAAAATGAAATTTACACAAAAATTTCAATTTATTTCCTCAAATTTTTATTTTAAAAAATTGATTAATTGATAAAACTCTTTTTACCTAGTAAATATGGAATAATATAAAAATAAAATGTTAATCTAAAACTAATATTTTGTTCAATTAGATTAAATAGCTTTATAAATTGTTTATTTTCATAAAATTTTTGAAGTTAAAGGAGTTAAAAAAATTATTTAAGTCACATTCTTCTCCTAAAATTTGGAATAAAAACAAAACATACACTTACTCTAATTTACTTAGAATAACTAAAAAAGAAAATCTATTAAGCTAAAAAAATACAATTAAATTAAAGCAAAATATGATGATATCAAATAAAAAATAAATGAATTCAATAATTAATATAAAAATAAAATTAATTAATTTTATCTATATATTTTGGTTGTGCAAATAAATGTAACCAAGCTCATTTAATTAAAATTTGTTCGAATATAAAACACTTTTTATTATTAATTTAGTAAATTGGTACTCACATACATTTTTTAAATTAAAATTAAATTTATTTTAATTATTTAACTAATTAAATTATATTTTTTTTATGAATTTGGATTAATTAGCTAATGCTTATTTTTTATTTAAAGACTCATTTTAATTTTTTTGTTTTAGTAATTAAATAATTAGAAAATAATTTGATATTTTATTTCATAGTCATTATGTAAATTTAAGCTATTTTTTTACTATTTTATTCCAATTTTAATAATTAATTTTAATAATGAAAAAATAAATACTAAAATATTTAAAACTCATTTGAATTTTTACATTTTATTTCATAAATTTTTAATTATTATAATAATCCTTACCTTGATTTCATGATAATCCTTACTCAATCTTGATTTCGTGAATTTATTTTATATATATATTAAATAAGAGAGTTAGTTTTCATTTAAATTTATTATGTCTATAAAAATAATAATTTTTTTACAATTAAATTAAAAGTGAATGATTTTAATTTATTAATTTATCTAAAAATAGTTAGTGTAGAAATCAATCTTTTTTCAATTACAATATCAAAACATATAATATCTTTTGATAATAAAATCTAATGAATGCTTAAAAAAAAATTTTATAATAAAACTATCTCATTCTTATATTGGTTTGCTAGAGATATAGTAACTTTGGATATTTTAAGGGGAATCTGAAATCAACTTTAACTTTTCTTAAAATTAGTAATGATATCTTATATCTTATTTAATATAGAGATATAAGAGGAAACACTATAGCTTAAATTTGGATAATATAAATAAGCTTCTTTCATCAAACTAAATTTTATACTTTAATAATATTATTTTGTATTTTAGTGTGCTCTATATTTCTGTGTTAACTGCATAGATTCTCTTTTTATTATAATTTCATTAATTGAAATTCTGAATTTAAATGAAATTTTTATCATGGATTTTTTACAATAAATAAACCAAATTTTAACTTGGCTCAAAGCAGGTTGACTTTTCTCTAATTTAGGTTACAAATTATTTTTATTAGTTTTTTGTTAAAGTATAGTTCTATTAAATTTTGAGATTATTTTAAAGCTGAATAAATATTAAAAAAGGTCAATTTTTTTACCTAAAAATTGTTTTTATTTAATTCATTAATAAAAAATAAATTGAAATTTTTTAAAATAAAATATTTATTTATTTTTTGCTTTACTTTTTAATTTATTTAATTTTATAGCTTTTATATTTTAATTTTATTAAAAGTTGATTATGTGTAGAGAATTGACTGACTAATTTAACTGAGAATCTTTTGTTTATTATATAAATCTCTTTTGGTAATGTAAAGTAAAATCAGTTCGATGTTTCTTTGTTTATTTTTTGAGGGGAGTGGACAAAAATTTGTTGGCAAAAAACAAAAAATTAAATAAAATTAGAAGGAAATGATGCAGTTTTATAAAAATAATTGAATAAATATTTTAGTCATTTAAGAATTTGAAAACTTTACGAAGGTTAAAGAAAGAGGAAGAAATAAAGTACAAGTATAACTAAATTAAACTAAAAAGAGTAAAAATTGGCACAAAAAACCAAAAAATAAAATAAAATTGTATGGTAATTAAGACTCACTAAAGAGCTATTAAAGGTTTTGTAATAATTATTGCTGAGAAAAAGGTAGTAAAAGACTAGCTACACAATATTAATGAAATTTTAAACCTAACTAAAATATATGGAGTGAATTACAAAAAATAATTAATGCATGCAAGGATATTTATGTATATGTAAATAAGTATTATCTATTGAAAGATTATTGCCTAGTTTTTTATATCATTTCACATTCTTTTTAATTAATATATATGTATATGTATTCTTATAATCATTCTTTTTTTTGTTTGTTTTTTTCGTATTATTTATTAATTTTTAATAAGTAAGTAAGTTGGAATCAGTCTTAATACTAAATTGATTTTTAACTAACTTTTCTAACAATGAATTAAAAGAATAAAGCAAAAAGTAAGACTACTTATGGAGATTTTGCCTAGATCGCTGCATAAGTCTAAATGAGATAATCATCCCAAATTAAGCAAATTTAGGATTCTAAAATATAGTAAAGCGTTCAAAGCGATTCCTTTTCTGGAAATTTGCATTAAGACAAAGTGAGTTTTTACATTCTCCCTTTTGGCATTCTTTTATCTTTGTATCATTAAAAAATGCTCCTAAACACCTACCATTTATTTATTCAATCAAGCAGGAAGCATAAAATAAATTTCAAGATCAGCAACAATTAATTTATTTTTTTATATTAAAAAAGTTTTATGGGAACATAGAAAATTCTATTTTTGCCTCTTCTTAGATTATAAAACAAGGTAAATAATTAGTTTTTCAATACTCTTTCCAATAGCATATTGTTTATTTGGAGGATTTATATTATGAAAGCAAAATAAATTTAGTTATAAAACTGCAGTATTTATAAAGAAAAATTTGAAATATATCAATAATCTAACTAAATATCTTTCTAAAATTATCTATGAATAGGTTATCTGGAAGAAGGATTTAGTTTGCTTAAGAAATTGGAATATATCGTGATAGTAGCAGAGTAAAAAAGAAAGAATGCAAATGATTGTGGAAATCAAATGTCAGATTAGCAAATCAATATTAGCAATACCCTACATACAATAGAATCTCAAAACTTACTTGCCAGCATAATGAACAATTTAGCATTTTACTACCATTTGTAAATAAAAAGCATTTCTTATTTATCAAATTAAACAAATTGTATAGAAAATGCCCTCTTATTTATTTATTATTTATTTACTTACTTACTTTATTTACTAAAGGCATTTTAAGTCACTATACAATTTGTTAAATATTAGCTAAAAATGAAGGAAATATTTTATTAAAATTATAAATTAAATTTTAATCAGGAAATAAAAAACACACGCTTCCTCTCTCTATGCATAAAAAGCTGTTGAATATGATCGAGTCTACTAAAATTTAATTGAATAATACTAAAATGAGTAATTTTTTGAATAAAATAGCAGCTATCTATAAACAACAAATTATTCATTGACTTATTATTATTATTATTAAAATAGGACCAATTAACAATTTCTATCGAGTAGTTCTAATAATAAAATTTAATATTTAGAGTCTATTGTAAGCTAGCTTAACACTGCATTTAAGCATCTCCAAAAGCATTACCAAACTTCCGTTTCCTCAAAGTAAAGCATTCTCTTTTCAAATTTAATAAGGCTTGAAATAAAATTAAATACATCAATATCACTTTCAAATATTAAAATTCCCAAAAATAAACAATTCAGTAAAATTTCTAATAATATCTTAAACAATCAAAAATTATTCAATTTAAATTTATTTTGAAGTTAAGCAAATAAATTTTTTTAGATGCTTTATTTCAATAGAATTATAAAAAAATCTCTTAAAAAAGCCAAATTTTTAATTATTTTAAATTCATTCTAAAAGGAGAATAAATAAATAAATAAATAAATAAATAAATAAATAAATAAAGAGTATTTTAATAGATTTCAGATTTGATGAAATATTAAAAAATTATAAATTATTGCATTTTTTAAAATAAATTTTGATTAATTTTAAGAAATTGAAGATGTATTTATTTAATTTTAAAAGCAAAATAAATCTGAACAGATTTACTGCTATTTTTTAATTTAAAAATCTCCCCTTTAAAATTTTAAATAGAAATTTAATAATTAAATCATAGATGAATAATTTTTAAATTTAATTAAATTAAATAATAGAGAAGAAAATGACATGGAAGAAATGATCACTTAAGAGAAAAACTTATTGGCTTTGATTTAAACTATAAAATAAATAAAAATAAAAAAGAATCTATTCAACACTACAAACAGGCTTTTGATAGCTCAAGTTTTAGATAAGCAAAAAGAAGATGATGAACAGCAATTATAATAATAATAAATTCACCAATCTAAGGTATTTAGAGTGTCCTCTGCCTCGAGTTAGATAGAAATAGAAGGATTAACTTTGTATTTCCTTGGAGTTCTTTATCAACAATAAAACAAAAGCTCTTTATCATCCTTATATTTAAATTAAGCCTTGACAATTTTTTAATCTCTTTATCTCACAGCACCAACTCTATATCATCCTTTTATCATCTCAATAAAATCTCTGATTAACAAATCTTCCTCTTTAGTAATAGATTTTTAAAAATATTTTTATCTCTCATGGAATAGGAATTTATTTTAATAATGTATTTTTGATAGCTTATAGATACTGAACCAGTACTAATAAATCTTGATATTTTTACTAAAACAAAATTTTGCAAAAATTTCAACATTAATTTTTCCAAAATTCCCAAGCCATTTTAATTGTCTTCACACTAAATTCAAAGATTTGAATTGAGGCATTTATAATTTTTATGATTTTTCATAATTAAATTTTTTTCAAGAATTAAAAAAAATAGATAAAATTTTAAAAGATATTTTAACGAATAAATAAATTTTTTGAATGAACATCATTAAAATGGTTTCAAATAATTATTTATCATTTAAGGTTTCTAAAAAGATTTTCATCAAAATATTAATTTTTATTAAATTATAAAGTAAACAGCAAATTAAGGAGAATATGGGATGAGTTAAAATGATTCAGAAAAGAAATCAAACACACATGAAATATTAAAATCTGATGAAAACTTAGAAGACTGTTTTGATAATAATTAAAATTTAAGTTAAAGCTATCCTATTGTTTTTAGTGATAAGCAACAAATTGACCAAAATATTTTATAATAAAACTAGCAGTAATACAAAGAAAATCAATAAATAAAACTATTTTAGCATCTATAACTTTAAAATGAATTCGCAAATAAACAAAAAAATATTCTATACAAAGAAGATATTAACAGGAAATCCTCTCAAAGAAATAGTTTAAGCCACGAAAGAAATGAAATTATTCAGATAAAGAGCTTATATTCTTCTGAAAATGCTAAACAAAATTTCAACAATATCAATTTAAAAGAAGCAAACATAAATTAAACGGAATGTTAAATGAATCCTCTTGCTTCATCATCTTATGCAATCAGCTAAAGAAGAGGAGAATTCTACTCACCGAGGGAAGAAGATAAATACAAATCATTTAAAAATGCTATTGCTTCAAAGCTTTTTAAATCTAACTAGCAATCACCTGCTTTTACTCCAAGAAGTATTTTTCAAAATTTTTATATACAATTAATTCATTTTTATTATCATATAAAATGTTATTTCAAGATTTTTATCGTTTCTTTATATTATTAAATGAAATTTAATTTTTTTTATTAACGATTAAAAATTTAAACAAATTTTAAAAATTTAAATTTTATAAAAAATTATTTAGATTCTGTTTATACAAATAATTCGTCTAGAGAAGGCTCTCAAACATACAGATTGAGAATGGGAAGACTGAAAGTCACTTAAGATGGGTTTTTTTAGAAGTAAAAGAATTCATATTTTCATCAAAAAAACATGCTTTCATCTTCTGATTAGAATGAAAGTGGTGATAATAAATAAAAACAATAACTTGCTTAGTAATAATAACAAATATAATAGCAATAATAAATAGATATTTAGCAATCAACTCCATAGTAGCAATAAATTTATCTTCCTATTAATTAACAAAAAATTTAGTCTATGATTATGAATCACTCTTCTTAAAAAAAAATGAAATAATTTCTTCAAAATAATGGTCTTACTAATTTTTTGAGCTAACATCAGCAGGGATTACAAAAATAGTAAGTTTTTACGCCTTAAATTTACTCTAAAACTCCTGGCTAGTCAAATAATTTTGGAAATTTGTTGTTATCTTCTGCTCAAAAAAGTAGTTAAAATTCTAAACATAAAAATTAAGCTTCATTACAATAGCAACCTACCAATATTAGTCAATTTTCTTCAACTTAATAACAACAACAATAATAATAATAATAAACTAGTAATGCCTTAAACTCTTCAAGAACATCTCACAAAGAAAGTAAATAAAACAATTCTAACTATCCTGTCAAATAGTCTTCACTTTTAGAGGAAATCTACCTCTCTTTCGATTCTATTAATTATCTTAAAAATAAAAGCAACAAGAAAAATGCATCCTAAAATTAATTTTAATAGAATATTTTACATGCTAATTAGTAAATAAATAGCTCAAAGCAAGCTCAATAATAATTATAAATGCAAAATGGAGTCTTAAATAAAGAGCAAAATTAGCAACAAGTTTAACAAAATAGCAACTAGCAATTGCAATAAAATCTTTAGCAAGTTTAATAAAATAATATACAACAATAAATATAGTAATAGTAAGCTGTGAATAAAATTTATTAGAATCATTTGTAGAAATAGTAACAATAATAAGATTAGAAAAATAATCAATAAAATCAAGAAAAGATTAGTTCATCTGAAAATTAAATAAATTACCTTCGTCAAATCAGTGGAACTGAACCACTTAGCAGAAAAATATCTATTGGTAATAATAATATAAATACCAGTAAATCAAACTATATAGGTTAATAAATTAATAGTAATATGTTAAGCCAAGTAAACTAAGGTTCAAATAACTTTCAGAGAAACACATCTATCCACATGATGACTCCTAATAAATCAACGGCTGCTTCTCTTTCGAATAATGGCACATCTGAGAAGAACTCTTTGCATAAAAAGCTACAAAATTCATAAAATATAATTCAATTTCACCAAATATTTTAGCAGTAATATAAATAGTCTATTTAATCAGATTAACAATAAATATAGCCATTTCAGCAGCAAGATCACCAATAAAATCTTAATGCAAACAATTCAAGTGCTAATTCTTATACAACTTAAGATTAAAATAGTTAGCAGCAACAACAACAGCAACAGTAATAACAGTTATCAAGAATCACAACTCAAGCAAATACAACTAATTTCACTACCAATAACAGCAACCACATTAATAATAACAATATTACAAGCACCAATAACTGGGACAGCACAACTCAAGACTCGCTCTATTTTTAAAAAAGTAAAAATCTTTATCAAATTTTATTTAAAAATTAAAAAAAAACAAATTATCTTAAAATTTTAATTATTTAAAAAAAAGAAATAAAGGAAATCAATAAAATTGAGAATCTCTTCCACAGAAAGGATAGTTTGCCTGAAGGTAACGTGATTTTGTAAGGCTACTCATCTAAGAACAAAGAACAGATTTCAAAGAGATATGTAATTGATGATACTGATATTACTAGTGCTGCTGGACAAGCTGATGAAATTTCTAAACAAAACATGATTAAAAGAGATGCTTAGACAGCGAGGAAAAAATCTGTAAAACAAAAAAACTCCTTCAATAATTAAGAACAAAATATTTATTAAATAACACTGAAAAATATTTGCAATTTCCCTATCAAAGTGAACCACTCAATTGGTAAAATAAAGAATACAAATACAAATCCACTAAATACAAGAAGATCATCAATCAACAGCTAACTTAATGAAAACAACAATAAATTAAGCTAAATCGAATAAGACAAACTAAAGGATATTTTTATTTGCTAATCTCCAGTTTCATCAAACAAAAAATCTCAACAATAAAAAGTAGCAAGCAATATTAACCAAAACTATGTAACAAAATCACATAACCCATAGTAACAGCCATTAAAAAACTAATTTTAAGATATCGATTTGAATATTTTTCATTAGTTCATCTCTAACAACACTTAATAATTCTAAATTTCTTTGGCCAAACGAATAAATAGCAAACTAAAATTCTTAAAAGACAGAATACAAACATAAGAAGAAGAAAACAATACCATTAAATAAGCATTGAAAATGAGTGAAGAATTAGAATTTTAATTATTTAGAAAAAGTAAAAATTAAATATCAACTTTTTCTAATGAATCAAATGATATTCAATTAAACGCTACTGCTATAGCTTTGGCTTCTTCAAGATCAAACTCTCTAACGTCTATTTCATCTTCTTCATTTTCGATTTCAAACAACAATTGATCCTACAATATTTATTAATAAAAATAAGAGTACATCATCATATAATAAATGCAGTCCTTTCTAAAATTCTCCAAACAAAATATTAATTAATTAAATAAATAAATAACAGTTAATTAATTTATTTTTTAAAGAAAAAATATAAATAATCATAATAAATACCTCAACTAAATATTGCAAATTTTATAAGCAATAAACAACAAATTTTTCCATTAATTATCAAATATTTAACTCCTTAAAAGTATTAATTAATTTTATTTTTGAATCTATTAAAGAATTGTATAAAGAACTAATATTCTTATATTTTACGTCTTATATCAATTTATTATTATTAATTGCATTAAATTTTAATTTTATCATGTTTGTTTTTCTATAGTTTTTATATAATAAATAATTATACAAATCAATCAGAAATATTTATTTACTCATTCATATATAAAAAATTAATAAAATAATGTATGCATGCATACCTACTATTTTATTTATCTCAAATAAATACTTTTTAAACCAATTTTTTTTTCTTCTTAATTATTCTAATTAGTTTTAATTTAAACTAAAACATAATTTGATTAAGCTAATTAACAATGTAAATTTAAATATTAAAAAATATCTTTAATCACTCTGTCAAATAAAAAAATAGTGAGTTAACAAAATATAAGAATGGTTGAATTTATTAATTAAATCCATGAAAAATTAATTGTTAGATACTAATTTATGATAAATATAATAAACATATATATCTGCCAACAGATTTAAAATTTAAATAAGTCTTATAAAAATCTTAGTTAAAAAGATAATAAAATTTTTAATACAAAACAATTATATATCTAAATAATATTTAACTTTTATTTAACAAGTTAATAATTATTATATATTACCATATTATTTATTTACTCACATTCGTATTAAGATGATAAAACTAAGATTTTGTGTTTACCTTTAAAGATTTCAAAATTTAGTGCTCCCTCAATGACCCAGTTGGTTCAGCTTATCGAAGAATAGGGTAGTATTTGTTTGTTCGAATGTAAACATCACTTAAGATGAAATTATAAATTTGATCTTTAATTTAGAACCAAAGAGAAATATTAATTAATTAGTTTTCACCTAATAAATAGTTAATAATTTTTATTGTCTAAATGATGAATATTGATTCTATTTATTTAATATTTAATTCCTAATTGAGTCTAAGTTCTATTTGATTTTATTTTAATTTCACTTATTGAAGTTAGAAAAGCATAATCTATAATTACCATCCTCTCGTATGTATAAAAGTAACTAAAACCATTTAACTCTATTTTTAAATCTTCAACCTTTCATGAAAGGAATGCATACTAAGAGAGTGTAATTATTAAGAATAAGATGAAAATAAATCCTAAAATATAGTTTTTGATCTCCATTAAGTGATGAATTAGTTTAATTGTTTTTATTTTGAAGCTAAAATTTTAGGTATTATGTATGTTAAAAAATAAATTGTTTTATTTAAAGATAGTATTTCTTTTTATTTCAGTTTTTTAAATAGATTTATGAAATTTTTAACAATCTCTTATTGATAATAGATAGTTATATGTTTGCTTTATTTATTTATTTACCTCCATTTTTATTAATCATTCGTTAGATTTTATATCAAATAATATCAGTAAAATTACAAAGACAAAGAGTAAATGATTTTTTTTAGTAATTAATTATAATAGATTATTAAATTAAAATGTAAAAAATAAGATATATTATAAAAGTTGAAGGAAAATATTTAAATGAATGTATTCATTTGTTTTGTTAAAACTCCTGCTTTACTTTTCAAAAATTAAAAGCAGGATCGAGTTTTCAAAAATAATCAGAATAATTGATTACAATCTAAAATCATCTAATTCTTCTTAGTAATAATAGAATGTTTCACCAAAACTAATTTATTATTAAAAGAAAAGTTAGAAATAAATTTAACAATTACATAGGACCAAAGTTTAATTGCTAATTTATAAAATTATTTTAACTATAAGAGAATACTATTTAAAAAATTGATGGAATTTATTTAAATGAAAATATTTATTTATTTGTAATGTAATAGCTACTGCTTTATCTTTAAAAAATTAAGGCAGGATCAAATTTTAAGAAATAATCAGATCGATTGATTAATATCTGTAATCATCAAATTCTTTTTTAATAATAATAGATAGAATGATTCACAAAAATTATTTATTCAAGAAATAAGAGATCCTATGAATTATCAGGTGTTGCTACTAATAAATAAAGAACTATAATTTATTTGCTGGTTTATTATAACTTTTATATTTTTTGAAAAGGTTTAAAAAGTAAATTGTTTTTAATGATTATATGAGTGCTAATTTATATATTTATATATGTAAATAAATACAATTAAAATATACTATTTCAAGCATTAATTTAAATTACAAATAAAAGAATGTTTTATTAGTACTTAATAGTTTAAAAGTATGCTGACATTCTTAACTTTAATTAAAATAATAAATCTCCAACCCTTCTAATATGAATAGAATTTAACTAAATGGTTATCTTTAAGATTTTTGTGTATAAAAATAGTTTTAGAAGGGTTTATTTAATTAAAATTAAAATCTAATGTAAGATAAATTCAAATGGCATTAATTTATTTTTATTTACTTGGAAACTAATATTAGAATAGCTTACGTATTAAATTCTAAAGAGATCTATTTACCTTATAATATTTAATTAATTACAAAAAATTATTAATCTAAATATCCTTAAAATAAATTGGATTAACAATGATTACTAAGAAAATTAGAACATTTCTCTTGGTTATTTTACAAAGTCAAATTTTTGATTTATAAATTATGTAAAAAGAATTTATTTAATTTAATAAATAAATAGTTTTAAAATACATATATGCTGATTCTTATAACCCTTGCTAGCCAGGATAAGGAAATTATATGGGTTTAAATCCTAAATGTAAACTTCATTTGAATTATTGTTTAAGTATTAAATCATTTTATTTAAATTTAAGTTACTTATTGCATACTTAATTATGTAGAACCTGCATAATAATCTGATATAGACAGCATGAAAAAATATTTCTCAGACATGAATTGCTTAAATTAAAATGTTTTTCCATATAATAATTTATAATACTTATCAGGAAATAGTTGTACTACGAATAATGATATAACAATAAAATATACTCCATCAAACCAGTAAAAAAAAAATAATTAACAAAACTAAAATTATGATAGCAATATTTATATCTTTTTTTAATCAAAAATTCAATTTAGATTAATTTATTTTTAAAATTAAAAATATAATTCACAATATTTTTAATCTTTTAATTTGTTGTTCTTATATTTTTTCAAAATATTTTATAAATAAATTAGGAATACAATCATATATGGCTTTTATATTTACTTTATTATTTCTGTCAATATGACTTCTAATTAAAATTTATAATCGATAATTGAAATAAATAAAGTCCCTTATCAAAGCGCAAGTGGATATTATTATGCAGGTTATGATTAGAATTATTCTTTTAATGTTAATGGATTGCTTAAGTAATAATAAAATGTAGATAGTTTAACATTTAAGATAACACCATTTAATAAGAATATTGAGAAACAATATCAAATTTATATTTAGTAGATCATTCTATATGTATAATTGGTAAATTTAGTAATTAAATTTGTTAATAGAGAGTGGAATATTAAATTCTTGATATTTGAATTTAAAAATTATTTAATTGAAATGAAGGCTAGAGACCTAATAGAAATTATGAGAAAAAGGCCAAATAAATTTTTTTTTTTACAAAAAAAAATCTTTTCTTTAAATTTTTTTATTATTAACCCTCACTTAAAAATATTTATTTAACATAATATAGTGCTATATAAACTGTTAATAGTGTGATGAAAACTCAGTATGCTTATAATGTTTTTCTGGATATTATTATCAGCAAAATACAAACTAGTGTCTACCTTGTGATAGCAACTAATTTGTTAATTAATTCAACTAGTGCTAATCATGTGATCCAGCCTGTAAAACTTGCAATGGTCCTAATCCAAATAATTGTTTATCTTGTAATATTGGACTTTATTATAATTAAGCCACAAAAACATGTATTATTTGTGATCCAACCTGTAATACTTGTGATGGCCCAAATCCAACTAATTGCCTATCTTGCAGTCCTGGATTTTATTATAATTAAGCCACAAAAACATGTATTTGTGATCCAACCTGTAAAACTTGTGATGGCCCAAATCCAACTAATTGCCTATCTTGCAGTCCTGGACTTTATTATAATTAAACCACAAAATCATGTATCTGTGATGCAACTTGTAAAACTTGCGATGGTCTAAGTCAGAATAATTGTTTATCTTGTAGCTCTGGGTTATACTATTAGTAAGCTACAAGTCAGTGTGTAAAATCTTGTAATAAAAATTAATTTCCAAATGAGTTATTATAGCAATGTTAGGCATGTGATAATACTTGTGCAAGTTGTGATGGAAATAACTCAAATAATTGTTTAAGTTGTTACCCTAACAGCTTTCTCTACAACAAAAATTGTGTTAATATTTGTCCAAATGGGTTTTAAAGTAATTTTACAACTCTCACATGCGATCCATGCTAAAATTATTGGAGCCTATAATGCAATCCCTGCTATGCCAACTGTAAACAATGTGATTAATCATAAATTTAAAATGAATAATGCTAGACTTGCTATAATGAAACAAGATAAATAGATGTTTCAAGTAATAGATGCCTTTGCAAAAACTAAAATGATTAAAGGAATATATTTTATTAATGCAGCTATGAAAATATTGCTGTTATTGATGCAAAATTAAGTTCTACTTCTCCATAACTTAGTATTGATTTGGGATCCCCATTGATGAATATCATATCAAATACACCTTAGTCTTTGTGCTCACAGATATTTGACGAAGCAACATTAGGCATACTTGGGTTAGATTCTTAATGCGAAATCAATAAGAATAAAATTTTGGTTAATTTAAGTAACTTAATTTTATTAAATTTTCAATAATTCAACTCATTAAATTAATAATACTTTCATTTTAAAAATATTTTATTCTAAAATAAATAGGTGACTCATCGACAATCATGGAGAATAACTCAATTAATTTTTTGCCAAATAAGCTGCAGTTTATAGATTATACGGACACTTTTATTAACACATTTTATAGAAACATTACTTTCTAAGATTCGCCTGGAGTTCCTTAACTTTAATTTAGCTATAATCACATAGAAAATAGCTGTAACTCTATAAATATAACTCTTTATAGTATTCAAAACGATGCAGGAAGAAAATTTATGAGTCTAAATTGGACTTTAAATCAAATTGTAGGTTCAATAAGCAACGAGTAGTAAGAAAGTATAAAGGAAATATTATTAAAAGCAAGCTAAAACAAAAACACTAGTTTGATTATAGACCCTAAATTCTTACCACCAAATATTAACATAACAATATAATTTAATTATTTACTTAAGATTAACTAAACTGGTACTTAAATGTTCACTGTTATTTATCAAAAATAAAAATTTATAAGAGTCAACTATTAGCAATCTCTCTATCCACCAATTTATAGGTTAATTTTACTTAAAAATGAAATAATTATTTTAAAAAATTATTCTTAAAATAATAAATAAATAAATAGATCTATGAGCTTGAGTTTCTACTTTTAATTTTACATAGAAACATGCGAGTTAGGCCAAATAACTTTTTTTAATGAGCCTGTTGATTTATAACTCGTTTCTAACCAGCTTTAAAAGTAAAGTCTAAGTCAATACAATTAATCAAGCTTTCAATATGACATTCTCCCTTACTCCTTAGCATCTAACTAAACTTTTAATATGAGTGTACATTTTTTATATTAAAAAAATATTGAAAA